TCTTAAAAGGCGCCTTTAAGTATATACGCCGCACCCTTCTAAAATCTAACGGTAAGTATATTATTCTTTTATTTAATATACTAGGTACTTATTTAATTCCTATTTATAAAAAGGCTTTTTACGAAGAGGTTTCGGACGAAGGGGAATTTACCCTCGAAGGGGAATTTAAATTCGATTATATATATAGCCTTTAAATTGATATTACGCGCTGTATTTCTATTTCTACAATTATAAAGAGAGCCGCTCGTTAGAAGTTTAATTACTTTAAATACTGAATAGCTAATTATTTAAATGATATATTTATTAATAAAAACCTTAGTAAATTAGGGTGAGCTTTAATATTCTTAGCCGTACCCAGTTTTAAAATTCCCTACGTTTTTTTAATTCCTTATTAAATAATTAGAGGCGTCTATACTAATAACGCCGATTATTATACGCCAGTCCGCATTTATAATATACTCCGCAGTCTTATTAACTTTAACAATATTTAAGAATTATTAGTAGTAATTCTTAATTAAATAATTAAAAAGTATAAGTTTTAGGTAATTTATACGATAGGGCTTAAATAGTAGAAGATATTAAAAGGATGAAAGAGGAAGATAAAATAGAGGAAGAAGGAGGCGTCCTAAATTTTGAATATATTAGCGATGGATTAATTAAAGAAATAATATTAGAAGTATTGGTAGGAAGAGGAGGAAAGTATAAATATTTATTCGGTAATAATTTTTAAAAATAGATTGATAGTTTAATTGGAATTAAGGATAGGGAAACCCTCCGCGTTATAAGAATCGCTAATTCGGTACCACTTTTAGGGATAGAAGAAGACTTCCTATATTGTAAGGCGGTTATTAATAAATATTTTGCAATAGATAGCGTATCCTTAAATAAAATTATATCCGAAGATGTAACGAAATTTTACGAAAAAGTCGATAAATTACTAAAAATTAATAAGTAAATTAAAGTAAAGCTCCCCTTTTAATATTAGTATTACGTTAAGATGTTTAAATAGGAGGGCGTTGAGATATTACCCCTGATACGCTCTTATAATTTTAAAATCAAACTCCGCTTTGTAATTACCCCGCTAGCGGTTCGAAGCTGCCCGTTTAATCCCGACGAATTGAGTATTATTAAGAAATGGATTGATGATAATTTGGTTAAGAAGTTTATTCGGCTATTTTAATTTGAGGCCTCTTCCTTAATTTTATTCTTTAAGAAGTTAGGAGGCGGAGTCCGTATTTATATCGATTATAAAGGTATTAATAATTTAACTTTAAAATTCTATTACTTATTACTGTTAATTAAGAAAATCCTTAACGCTATTTACTAAGTTAAGATTTTTATTAAATTCGATACTATTATTATTTTTATTTATATTTATATTAAGTAGGGTTATAAACAGTTAATTACGTTTATTATATAGTTTAGCCTTTTCGAATCTTTAGTTATACCATTTAATTTATACAGCGCGCTAAGTACTTTTTAGAATTATATTAATAATATTTTATATAATATCTTCAACGTTTATACGATTATTTATTTCGACGACGTTTTTATTTATTCTAATAACGTTAAGGATTACGAGTAATACGTTAACGATATCTTCAATTGCTTAATTTGGGCAGGCTTTAGTGTTAATATCAACAAGTACGAATTCTATACTATATATACGAAGTATTTAAGTTTAATTATTACTTTAAAAGGTATTGAAATAGATTTAGAAAAAATTAAAATTATTATTAAATAGGCGGCCTTAGAGTTTAAGAAGTCTTTATAATACTTTTTAGGACTTATAAATTTCTATTGACAATTTATACGAAATTTTTCTACTATAGCTATATTATTCTACGAAGTTACTAAGAAGGACGCCGCTTAGACATGGAATAATAGTTACTAATCCGTTTTTAAAGTATTGAAAACAATTTTTACTAAGGGTCTTATATTGAAAATTTACAATTAAATTGAAAAAAAAAAAAAACGGTAATTGAAACAAACGCGTCAAATTAGGTTATAAGCAACATTCTATCTCAATACGAGGATAATAGCGTACTATATTTAATAATTTACTTTTTAATGAAATATATAGTTTAAAAATACAATTATAATATTTATAATAAAAAATTCCTCATTATTATTAAAGTATTAGAGGAGTAGAGGCTAGAATTCGAAGGAATTTAATAATTTTTTAATATTTCAATAAATTATAAGAACCTATAAACTTTTACAATTAATAAGTAATTTACTTAGCGCTATATATAGTAGTCCTAGTTCTTATTCCGGTTTAATTTTTTAATTAAATATACGCCGGATTCTAAAAATCTTCGTTTAAACGTATTGAATTACAAATTAAACAACCGCTCCAATAATATAAAAGACGACCGATTTATAGTTAGAAAACGCCCGCTTTTAGATCCCTCCTAGTTTGAAAGCGGTTATTTTTCCGAAGAAGACCCCGTTGTAAATTCTTTCTATATTTATTAAGTATAGACAATTTTAATAATAAATCGATTAATAATTTAATTTACCTTAATTACAAAATATTTATCTTTTTATAAGAATTCGTCTCTTACTTGACCGACGAAACGAAGCGCTAGTAGTTATCAACTATTAAAATAGTTTTTTATTACGCTTTTTTAGAATATTACGCTATGAATAGTATTATAAAATAGTAGGATAGAGTAATTATTAACCCTTATAAGAAGGAATTCTAATTTTAATTAATTAATTATTAACATAATTTTTCCGGCGCGGATTACCCCGGTCGGGATATTACGTATAAATTCTTATAGTACGAATTCTATTAGGATGGGATGTATAATAATATAAGAACCTTTTATAGAAGTTATTTCCTTTATATAAAGATAAAGTCGTTAAAACGGGGTTTAATTAGATATCTTAAATTTATAGCCGTTTTTCTAGCACTATAGAGGGACGTGTTTATCGATTACGTTATTCCACTATTAGGAAGTACCTATTTCGGCTAAAGTTTTAAATATATTACTATTATTATCGACCGATTAATTAAGATACGGTATTATATATTTATAGTGATTTTAGAAGCGGAGGAATTTGCGGACCGTTTTATCGACTATATTTATTCGATTTATGGCCTGCTAAATAGTATTTTATCTGATAGAAATATTTACTTTATATTATATTTTTGGATTATTTTTTATACGAAATTATTAATTATTTGTAAATTAACCTTAGCTTTCTACCTTTAGACTAACGTTTAGATAGAATATATTAATGTGGAAATAGAATAATTCTTACGGCTTTATATTAATTGGGTATAAACCGATTGGGCAAAATAGCTGCTAATTACGGAGTTTATTAGAAATAACGCTATATTATCGTTAATAAGCGTCTCCCCCTTCTTCGTTAATTACGGTTACTACTTATAGATGAGTATTAAGCTTTATACCCCACTACTTCTAGACCTTTCCCCAGCTTAGTTTAAAGAATACTTCAAAATATTTGAATTAGCGGATTACTTCTAATAAATCTCGGATTTCGTTATTTAATAAATTTATTAAATTTAAGAGCGATACGAAAATAACATTAATAAAAAACGCGTCAACTTTCTTAAATACCGTTCCGGCGATATAGCTTTATTAAATATAATAAATTTTGTTAACGGTCGATTGTATTTAAAATTCTATCCGCGATAAGAGGGCCCTTTTTACGTTACTTAGGCGGAGAATTATATAATGTATTTTATATTCCCAGTTAATATAAAGTATTCGTTAGTATTCTACGTTTTTATAGTATAATTATAAATTAGTAAGAATTTTTCTAGTTAAAATATATCGTTTAATGTGAAGGTAAATAACGGGCGTATAATAATTAGAACGGATAATTATGAGGAGTGGGAAGAATAGAATTTTAAGAGATTTATCGATTGTGTTTAATTCGGCGGTAATTAGTATTAGTATTACTATATCGAATAGAAGGATAATTACTAGCCGATTTGGGAATTTAAATATAATATTATTAATTATAAGGAAATATTTTAAAATTTTTACAATAAATACTTTAATAAATTTACACTATTAAACGTTGAGGCTATATTGGTTAAATAGCCCTTAGTATTAGTAGCCGTTCTAGAACTAATTACTACTTTAAAATTACCGGCTGCCGCTTTAGAATTACCGACGCCCCTAGTATCTTTGAAACGTCGGTCTACCCGTATTACCTAGTACGAGACCGCCGCCGCCGTTATCGATATAATATAACCGTTACCTAATATGATTACGGTTATAATAGGGACGGAGAATAAATTTATAGCGTATAAAGAATGGGGATTAGAAATGGTATTTGTGAAAATAGCGAAACGTTTAATAAATATTTAGTTTGGTCGAATATTAAGGATAGAGTTTATAAACTACAATAAGATATTAAAGGATTACGAGAAGAGTTTAAAATAAATAATTTAGAGTATTATTATATGTATATAGATTCGAAGCTACTAGAGCTTCTTTTAAAGGGGGATAGTATTATAAGGCTAGCCTATAATATTCTTATATTGTATTGATTACCTTATATGCTATGCCTAGAGTATAGTAGTTATGTACAGCTGTACGTGTGCGCGTGTACAGACTGGCCTGCTAGGGCTCTCGCCTATATAGCTAGTCCTCTACGCACACCTTCCTTTCCTCTCCTCCGTACAATAACGTATATCTTACCCTATACTCAATAGTGCCTCGCTCTGTAATATACCCCTATAGATCGAGCTATTGTTTAACGAGAGTATGAGATATAGTGAAGAGAGAATAGGATGATGAAGTTATATTTAGTACTATGATTTTATTATTTTGATTCATTTAATAAGAAGGAGGGAAATAAGGAGGGAGATAAGGAGGGAGACGAGGATGAGTAATGGGGTAATGACGAGGAGTAATAGGGTAATGAGGGTCACGATGATTATAAGAATAATGATGAGTAATTACAATATTTAACGAGAATTACGATATTTTAGAGTGCTAGAATACTATGTAAAAATATAGCGATGCAGCATGGTTGTTAGAATTGAAAAGGGGTAAAAAGTGGACTTGCTGGCTTATATACAAGTATGTAACAAAACTGAAGTACATCGATTTGTTAGCGATTTTGGTGGTGGAGTAAGTACCTCAAGTTTTTTAACTAATTGCCCTGATTTTAACTAATTGCCCTGCCTGACCCTTGCCTGGCGGCAAGGGGAAGAAGGCGATTCAAGCCCTGACGAGTAGTCCAGGGCAGGCTCTCTAGCAATGCAACCTTGATGACCCGGCAGGTAGGGGATTGAAGGAAGATCCAGAGATCCAACCGACCCAGGAATTTGGAGCCGTGATTGGACTTTCTTTGTCATATTGCCAGGCATTTCGTCTTGCATGTCCCTATTGTCCGTAGGCACTGCCCCAGACAGCTCCCTGGACAACTCCCTTGACTTTCTGTTGATGATGCTGATAATCCCCTAGTCGGCGGAAGCAGCCATGCCACGAGCCGGTCAAGACCCTGAGGAGGAGAGATCTGAAAGGAAAAAGATGCCAAACTGAAAATAGCCATGGCATTCTCGAGGCCATCTGGAAGAAGAAAGCCATGGCGAGGGTGGACATGCTGACAAGAATAGAAGACAGCTGAAGCGAGGGAAGCGAGGAGGGTTAGGTACGGTGAGCTGGATGCTGGAAAAGGTAAGGTGAGGTTGAAGAGTTTAAGGTCAGACGGAGACGACGCCGAAGTTGACCGAACAGCGAGCACTAACAATTTCCCCTCATTTTGTTTGTCAGTGTCAGTTGTCACTGTTAGCGCACACCCGGCAGACAGTTGGTGACGGTGCTCAGTGGTCACCTCAGTGTCCCTCTGACTGCAGCGGAACACGGACCTCTGTGCCCCTCCTTCGAATGGCAGCTTATCTCTGAAGCACAGACCACTTTCACCTATCGGGCGCTTTCTGTCTGCCTGGGCTGCCGGTGCTGTGCAACACCAAAGTTGGGGAAGGAACAACTCACGATGTGATCATTTGATGCGGCAGAAAGAGGGAAGGCGCTGCCAGCAAAGAACAGAAGCAAAGATGCAGGAACCTCTCAGAAGAGTGAAGAATTTTCACCATTCAGGCGCAATGGCAGAGGCCCGGGAAGGAGTCACGATCTCGAGGTCTCTTACAATTTCCAACTTCAGTTCCCCCACACAGCAGCAACCCTCAACACCACCACGCCAGCTGTACAACTACAACACCCAACTGGCGATGCGACCCGACGGAAGGAATTGGCAACAAGCCACCACCCACACTCTCTCTCTTCTGTCCCCGGACTTTTCCATCTGCACACTCAATTGTCAATGCATGCACGCAGGTGGTAATTGGTAGAGTGATGGTCCATGGCCGGCTGTCCAGGGCTCCAAGCCGACGTCTTGCCGTCCTCCGGTCTTCCCAAAGTTCCATTTTCCGTCGACGACGCTAGCCAGCGCATTGCCCGCCATGATTGGGTTGGGTAGACACCGGCCAGAGCCAATGACAACCTCGTCTCCTCCAGCACAGCCTACCTCTACACAATGGAAAACAACATTCTTTCCAGACTTCCAGATCCTTTGTCAGTCAGTGTCACCCACACCCGAATACACGAGAGCAAGCCATTCATGCCTGGCGTGGCCCAGTGATGGTGGTGGTATCCGAAGTTATCGCTAACCTGACTGGGCCGTTAGGTACAAGACCACCCACCATCAAACATCAACCGACAGTATCAAACTACGCCTCGAGGCTCGGCTCCTCGCGCATAGTCTACAATGCCCCGGAATTGTCGAATCATCCACTCGTACAATCTCGAGTATACGTTGGTCTTACTTTTCCCCTTGGACTAGTTGGATTTGGACATACTCCTCCCACGGCTCCCCGGACGTGGGGTATTACCACATTATTCCGGATTGGTATTCCACCAAATGGAGCCGCTGATCTTCTGCCCGAACCACTCTGAACTCACCACCGGCACTTCTTTCTAATCTCACGATGCATCTTACATCTCCAGCAATCATTTGAGCTGGCTAGTGCAAGGCCACGGCAGCAAACCCGAGCTCGATAAGGATGTCGACATCTGGGAACCGATATGGAGCGAGGTAGCGAGGCTGACCACTCCAACGGGGCCATTGCCATTGCCCGCTACGGCACGCTTCCAGTTGCTCCCACGCTAGACCAAGTATGACGGTAGAGTCATTATCCGTCAATGATCCCCTGCTTGGAGTGCCGCTCTGCCGCTACAAGTGCTACACAACATTTTTGCTCTCTGCGGCAGGGCACATTCAACACCGCCAAGTATTTGCACTTTTGCGGCCGTCAACCGTCCTTGCGATGCCTGCTTGCAGCTGCCGTATAGACGTTGAGACTCGTTGGCAGATCACGTTGGGTCATCTTCATGGAACACACATGCCCAGCCCAAGCCAGCCAGCCAGCCCACCATGCCGACATGCCTACCAATCCCACCACCAAATCGGGAACAAGATCTCTGTAATTAGGGTGCATTCACAGCGTACCACAGCAGCCCGCTCAGATTCGTCACTGGCCACTCCAAAAAGAGAGAGCGTCTTCCCCGCCGCCAACCTTTCCAGAGCAATCGGCCAAATAATATAGCGTCCCGGAAGACGGTGTTAGTTAGTCCCCGTGCGGGCTTGCAGCTTGCGGGCATACACACGCGGGCACACGCGGGCAGGCAGTATCATTGCATCAATCTTCCACTAAACGTTTAGAGACAAAACCCCCTGTCCCAGGACACCGTTGATCCTCGGGCCACGGGCCAAGTCGTCACCATTCAGCGCAGAGAACAGGCGTCGGTGTGGGTGGATATCTTGTCTGGGACTCCTCTCAGAGTGCGGGTGCCACCACCCCAAACGTACCAAACCCATTCTCTCCCCCCAAAAAAGTATCTCATCCCACCCTCTTGGCTCTCTGCACATCTGGGACTGGAACAGGACTGGCACCCGCATATCGACGAGGCCCAAAATACAATCTACAAAGGTACATGCAAGGTGGTACCTGTGCCCTCGTACCTTGTCCTGGTCCCCAACGCCCACCTCCTCCAATCCTCTAGCCGTACAACGGCGTGCACATCAACAAGCCTCGTGGGACTGACTGGATAAATATCGTTGCTTGCCGTCTGTGTGCCTGTCCATTTTCCTCTGAAACACCCACTTTGCCAATTCTCTAATTTGTTCAACTGTCACCTCAACAAGAGATCTTCCTATCCATCACGTCCAGGATCCTCGTTCAACGCGCCCTAGCACGTCCTAGCAGCACAGCTTCACCCGCCTCATCGGACACCAATCTATCCAACTCCATCCGATCAAGCAAACTTCCACTCAAGATCGTCTCTGCCAAGATCGAGGCTATCTGTACTCCCGAAAACCACACCAGATCGTCCCTTCTCGACGTTGTGCTTGCCGTGCTGGACGACCACGTCTAGTACCGCGGCATCCATATCCAGCTCATCATGAGCCAACCGACCCTTGACGGCCTCGAGACCCATCAGTTAGAGGCGCTATTACACCAGAGTCAAGAGCAAGCTCGCGCTGCTGAGAACCAGGCTCGCGCCATTGAGAATCAACTTAGAGCTCGATCTTCCGTTCCCACACCAGCCGTCACAGATTTCGACACTGTACCGGGGAATTATCGAGTCTCTTCCTCGTGTTCACCAGCAGCCAGCAATGTACGCTCACGAAGCAACACAATACCCCGCAGTGTGGGAGGTGTCAGCATGGTCCCGACTTTGAGCCTCAACGGCAACCATGCACCGCAACAGCCACTGGTAAGGAAACCCGCTTGCTGTGATCAAACGCTCAGTCCCACTCATTCTTGTATAGGAGCAAAGTCGTCCCATGAAGCGCTCAAAGACCACTCACCCCACCACGCCGGCGACTGCCGCCACCACAGTGAGAATGGCGAGGTCCCGTTCAAGCGCATCGGCCCAGCCCGCGTACAGGACGAGTAACCCCTTCGCCGGACCCGGCCCGATTACCCCGCCGTATCCCCGGCCTGCGCGGAACAGCCTACCAGCTACTCATACCAGTTCCACGATACTGGAAACAGCCTTCAACCTCAACCAGTTGCAGCGGCCCACGGCTACAGCCTTCCTTTACGGGAATCCCAGCTTTCATGCCCAACTTCCTCAACGGCCGTTGCCGATGGGGTCATTGGCAGAGACTGGCATGGAGATGAATCCAGCTGATTTTATCTCCATGTGGGACCAGGAGGAAATGGCCATGACATCTCCTCTACATACGCAGCCCATCGGTATCCCTACAGCCAGCCATATGAGCCAGTTCCAATATCCTGGCGACTCTGGGAATCCGTCAGTGTGCGGCTCCATGACGTCGGCACCTACTCTCGAAACCGTCCCGATGACAAGGTCCAACAGCAATCTGAATGACAATATGCCTAATCAGTTTGCCGAAATGGTTCGGATAGAATCTCAGCAACCGAGTCGTCAACAAAACCGCCGGGAAAGCTATAGTCAGCCGCAGCCCTTCACTACCTCGCTGCTGGGGAAACGGTCAGCGTCGGATCCTGATTTTCTGGAGGCAGACATCAATGGGCTTCCAGTCTCGTTCAACAGTCACCTTTACTCTGCGTCGGCACCTGCCAACACGCTTTCCATGGGCAACCAGCACCCCATGGGGAACTCAGTACCGCAAACAACCTCCGAATCTACGCCTGAGGACGACATCGAACAAGAACTGGATCAGCACCTCTCCATGGAGAGATCGGAATCTAAGGATAGCAACAAGTCAAACCAGTCCCAGTCGTTGAAACATCGTGCCAAGGAGGCTCTCGTCCGTCAGAACGTTAACGCCTCCAAGTCCCGACATCTTCAGCCTAAGCCTGCCACAGATACCACCAAAAAGGAATCTTCCGAGCCTACTGGTGTGGCTGGCAAGGACGGAAAGGCCGTCATCACTAAGACCAAGTACGAGCGACCCAAGCACCCCAAGGTCAAGTGCCCTCAGTGCAACGAGAACCCCGAAGGCTTCAGAGGCGAGCATGAGTTGCGCCGACACACCGAAGCCAAACACAACATGTTGGTCAAGAAGTGGGTGTGCCGTGATCCAGCTCTTGAGGGTATTCCCCATTCGGAGAAGGCCGTCAAGTCTCTTGCGGATTGCAAGCAATGCTCGCAGGGGAAGCAATACGGAGCGTACTACAACGCTGCTGCTCATTTGCGCCGAACTCACTTCAAGGTCAAGCAGTCTCGCAAGGGTGCCAATTCCAAAGGTGCTAAGAGTGTCGCTGGCCAGGCCGGTAAAGCTGAAGAGGAGAAGCGTGGTGGAAAAGGTGGTGGCGACTGGCCTCCTATGTCTGAGCTCAAGCACTGGATGGTCGAGAAGTTGGTTCCCATGGATCAAGAGGGCGCGTTCAACCAAGACGGTGCTGATTCCGACGGCGCTGTTGACCCTGAAGATATGGAGAACGGCCTCTTCGACCCTCAGTACGTTCAGGCCGGGTTCGGGCTTGCGCCCAGGACAGGTGTCTTCGATGTAGCTACCTTTGCCGGCGTAGGGGGAAGCTTCCAGGATTTCGACGGGTTGAATGCCACAGCCTTCCAAAACCTGAATGGAGAACTGGGTCTACCAAGCTCAGATCTCCTCATGGACGCCGGCATGTATGTGCATCAGCCAATGCAGTCCATGCCCATCGCTTCGGGATTCAACTTTGGCACGGCTCAAGACGCGCCGCAACAACAACATACCATGGCACCCGCCATGACGAGCATCGCCAATCACAATTACACCTCTCCTGTCTCGTCGACTGCCACCATCACCCAAGGCGGTTTATCAGCGGAACACCAATTTCTCATGGCACCGGCGATGCAAGCCTCGCAGAACGATCTGCCGGACATGTCCTTCGATCTGATGTTTACTGCTGGCGCACAGTGACGCCGACTTGCCAAAGCTCGTCTATCCGGATTCTTTCCTTCGATGTCCGGCATTTCCACGTGAATTTCTCTTCATCGATCCTGCACCTAAATCTCGGTTACACTTTACCGTCTTCTCATTCCGATTTACGTCTTCGATTCTTCTGCTTCTTATGCCGGCTTTATATTTCCTATTTCACTTTGTCTTGGACTTTGGTCAGGGGCGTGGTGGGTTACGTTCCGCCATGGTTCCGCAGGTGTCTCGCTTCCATCGGGATCCTCGAACCTTGACTCAGACCCTGATCGTCGCACACATGGATCACTGTCGCACGACCTCGAACTCAAAACGTTCATCACGCTTCGAGCGCAGTTCCCGTCGGCCGAAACAAGGCCTTCAGCCAGCAGCTCATACAATGTGCCGCGGATTGACATCATGACGACCAGCGCAATCCGTCTTGTCCCGTCCCGGCCCTTTGTGTCTGGCTAGGGTCCCGCGTCAACATCTATCTATTCGACGTATTTTCGTTTGGCTCGTTTTTGTCACCTGTCTCGTCTTTACCCAGCGTTCTTACATCATTATCTTTGGCTTTCAGCACAACACAGTACAGGGGTAGCTCGGTCTTTCGCACAAGCAAGCAAGCATAAGCGTTGAGAGGCATGCGTGTACAGGTTGTTTGGGTAGTACAGGAGATTCAGCCCGACGGCGAACGGTTAGCGGTTAGAGGCGGCGTTCCGCAAATGGTGTTTCGGATAAAGGACCGTTAGGTCTTGCTTGCGTTTTGTTTTCTGGCTTTTTGTTTTGGGTAGGCTGTCTTGCATGTATGCATGGGCATTTGGCTTTCCTTGGATTTTACGACGCGATTACCCCCTTATGTTATTGTCACTTGTTGATGTGTTGTTCCAGACTTCATCAGTCGGTCAACAAAACCTGGTTTTGTATACAGAGATTTCCCAGGTCTTTTCTTTCGTCTTTATTGGTTTATGGTTTGGGCGGCGGTAGATATACCACATCATTGGATAGGCAGTGGACAAAAGAGCAAGAGCGGAAAGAGCAGACAGAGAGTGGCAGGGCCAGTCTGCCATATCAGATACCAGACACCGGATACCATATCAAAGTTTGTTATTAACTGGGTTGGGATCAATCTATCTTACACATCTATTTACCTCGCAAGGGGCGCAGAAAGAGGCAGCGAAGAGGCAGCTATCACGGCGTTTTGTTTTGAGAGTGTGAGGATACGGACGGTTAGGTCTGGTAGTCGAGCGTAATAGGCACTGTGGTCATTATCAGTCGTCAGCTCGCATGAAGTGTGTTACTAGACATAGGATCTGAATTCAAAGGACTTAGACGGTGAACAATGCATTCAACCTCATCCAGACACCCCGAACGAAAGAAACATGACTGAACTGAAGCATGTGATGATGAGTAAACGTGGCGACGAAAGAACACCGCATCAAATCGAGGCATAGCAAGCCCCTACCCGTCCCTTCCATGCAACCAGCCCTTTTCCAGCCACGCATCGACACCAAGAGACGGGTAGCCACAGGCAGGCTCGCAAGCGGCTTGAAGGAACACACTCTGGAAGCATAGATCCAGTCTTTTCTCGCAAAGGGACTGAGTAACGGCGGAGTAACCGCAGACAGTTACCAGGCAACTGGCAGAAAACTAATATTTCTCCCAGCAAAGCAGCAAAGCATGCGATGAACAACCGACGTCTCGAGGAAAGAACATTGCTTGCTTGCTCACTTTACGTCCCGTCGCTAGCCGTAGCCGTAGTTTCCACGCAAGTGTCCGATCCTTCTTCCATTTGGTCTAAATTCTATCAGATACACTTCTGAACGAGAACCGAGAACCAAGTGCACGATTGGTGATGCTTCAAGGAGGCCTAAAATGAGTGACTCCTGAGTCTTGACAGCTGAGTGACAGCTGGCAGTCATAATCACCTCCCTGTTCACTTTCATGTCCAGCTTATACGGGAGAGACAGAGAGAGACAGAGACCACGGACAGAGACCAGGGATAAAGACTAAGTTTCGTATATGCCGTAACACCTACATCTGGCCTGGACGAAATACGCAAGAAGTCTCATCTTTCCTTTCTACCTACCCATGTTCCCATCTTTTTCCTAACCATGCTCGGCACCCTTCCTTCTTCGCATCCTCCCTTTCTTACCACATATGGAAAGGAACATAGCATGGCTTACCTCTCACTCCTACCTATGTTCGTGACTACATGTATCAATCATCCATGGTTACCTGAGATCGGGAAGTATCGGAGCCTACGAGTACACAGCTTCCCCCCAAGGAGTCACAACATGAACGGTATGATCTGGTACGGCGTGGAAAAATCCGGGGGTTCACAGTGAGTTTCGTCACGGGACCTCGGGACCACGAGTGAGTTGACGTAGTGACACACACAGAGATCGACGGGAAGGCATCAAGGGAGAAGAATGATAGGTAGGTAACACTTTGGCGACATGAGGATCAAGCAAGACCTGGTTCCGGGGAGGATTAGAAAAGGCGGAATAATATGGTGGGAAGGTTGTCCGTCGTTGCAAGAAGGCTTTTAGGGCAGCTGAAAGGGGCAGGATGATAGGGAAAAGGGGTCCAAGAGAGTTGAGCTTATGGATGGATGATGCATTGTTAGCTCACGGAATATCTCCGAGTATTTGAAAGCACTCTTTTCTCATTCTTGTTTCTAGCCGGGATTCACAGCGTTTTACTGTCAAGACCTAAAGCTAAGACAAGACCAATCATCAGGAAAAGGACATTTGATGGCAGGGAATCAGTCGCACGTACCCGTGCGAAAGAATTTCCGTGGCTGGGCATCCACGTTCTACCCACGCGATCAAGATCCCGCTGTGTCGGTCGATGGGCCGACCCAAGGTCACTTGTAGGAATGTGTTAACATCAAAGTCTAGAAACAATGAGACTTCTTTTGGTTTTATGCCTCTCGTGTTTGATGGTCGTTTTGCTCGCAGTCAATCCCGTCAGTCGAATGTGTTACATTACTTTGTCAATTACTCTAGAGAAAACTTCGCTACACCAAATGACCCCAATCCCATTCCATACATGCCCTGATTTTGGCTTCCTAGGCCATGAAATGTCCACAAGAATGCCGCCCCCTTGCCCTTTGAAGAGTGCCGTGATGTCTATCTGTACAAGTATATAAACAGAAGAGGAACCCATTATCGCTCGTGCTCGTCATACCCCGTCCTATTCGCCTGTCCCAGTACCAGATGCCATGATCCATTCCCATACCCGTTCCCAGCGCCGATCCATGATATGATGTCCTGTAAACCATGATGAAATCCATATGCGATGACCGTTCCTGTGCCCAAATCCTTACCACATCACCGTGCGCCGTATCCCATAAACATACCGCATAATCCATATCCGATAATCATAACCTCGTAGACCCAAACCTTACCTCTACCCGGTTACATTCTCCTCCGCAGCCCAAGCCCACCACCCTTCTTTCCCGTCGTCCTCCTCATGTCCCACATCCGAGTTAATCCTCCTCATACCCACATTGTATACAGTCTCGAACGCTCCCACTGTCAAGTCCATATCCTCCGCCTCCGGACACCTGTCTGGCCCGCATCTATCGGCCACCCTCGCCTGAACCCAATCATCCCCCTGCAGATCCCCGTGTTGTCCAATCCAGATCACCTTTCCACAAAGCGGGTTCTTGTTCGGATCGGAGTTCAAAGAGCTGTACTGTAGTTCTTGCGGGAGGAGGTGGGCAGCGCGTTTGGCAGCTTCGTCCCAGATTTTGTAAGATATGGCGACGACAACCTCGTTGTTGTTGATGTTGTAGCCGCAAGCGCCAGTGCTGTTGGAGGGGGAGTAATAAGTGAAGGTGGCTTGGTGGACAGTGAGCGGGGGGTCTTCGCCGAGGGGTGGAGGGATGGGGAGGTCGCTGTCGTCGTCCTTTTTCTTGAGTCCGAGTCCCAATCCAAGCCCGAGCGCCAATCCGAGCAGCAAGAGCAGCAGAAGCGGCAGAAGGACGAAAAGATAAAACCGCCGCCTGTTCAAATTAAATGGATACTGCTTCTCAGGCGGCAACAGCCTCCGATTGACCCAATTCCTCACCCTCTCCTTGTGCGTCAGTCTCGGCGCCGGCGGCGGATTCGGAATGCTTCCCAGCGTCGTAACCGTATGCGTCGGCAATATTCCTCCCTCGCCATGTCGTTCTGGATCCAAACCCGCAAAGCTATTCCTCCCATACCCAAATCCCAGACTCTTTCTCCAGCCCGCACCGTTAACCCCATGCTGATCGCTGGGAGACAATGCTTCATCCTTTTCCCCTGCCACTGGCGGATCCATCAAACTGAATAGCGAAGGAACCGACCTCGACCGCGGCTTGTGCTGCTTCTTGACAAAACTCGGCTGCTTCCTCGCTTCAAAGAAGGGGATGGACGAAAGCAAGTTGCGCGTCTGATGCAGTTTGCTGCGCTTGGGCGGGTTTCGGGGCGTTTCCCATTCGGGGAGGTAGCGGATGCGTTGCTCGACTTGGTGGCGGGTATTCGCGATATACGAAGGTTCTTGTCCTACTGCGTCTTGGGATGTATCGAGGGGTGGAAGCGAAGGCAGAGGTCGCGAGGAGACGGCTGTGGGCGCGGGACTGGGGCTGACCATCCTAAGGCCTGCTGCCTGTCCTGGGCGCGTTGGAACTGGAGACATTGGGAATATGGAGGATATGGGCGAGACAGGTTCTGGGTCCGCGTCGGCGCGGGAGTAGGACGGGAAGTCTGGTGGGTGGGATTGGAGTGGTGAGGGTAAAGGGATGGGGAGATCCCTCTCGGGGGGGTTTGAAGCCATCGTGGGCCGTCGCTGTGGTCGTTCGTTCGCTTGGAAAAGGATGTAACGGATAAAGATAAGAACAATGACGATAATTGCACCGCCGGCGACTAAGAGATAATTTCGATAATGATGTTTTTGTTCGCCTTTTCCCGCTGGTCAAAAGAATGACAATCGAAAGTGTCGTGTCAAGAGTCGAATACGAATCCCATACCGTCAGTGCCGTCGTTCCCTGGTCCTGTCGAACTTCAAGTTCCAACACTTGTTTCGTTACAGAAAGGAAGCGGAAGGGGAAAAAGGGAAGTAGCGTGCGAAGTTGCAAAGGGAGAAATGGGAAGAGAAGGGAAGACGGAGACCTCGAGACCAACCCTCCCGTGTGTGTGTGTGTGTGTGCCCGTCACCTGCCTGTGTCCCGTCACAGACCATTCACAGACCAGACTCATATTCAGCAGCAAGCAGAAAAAGGGAAAGCATGACACACACACGAACCTGGACGACGCACAGCAACAATGGAATGGTTTCACAAGGCAAGCCAGTCATTGCCAGTCGTATCAGTCGTGCCAGTCACGGCAAGTGGGTGATGAGGAATGCGCCTTCCTTGGTTTCCCAGATTTTCTTGCGCACCCATCCATTTCTGGAGGAGGGAACCCCGCCTTCCACTTCCATCCATCTTTTCGTTTCGTTTCGTTTCTTGCCATCGTGCCTCTCATCCAATTGGCATAATGCGAACGAGGCGAAAAGGCACCGTTTCATTCGGAACTTGCCTGGCGACAACTTCATCAGTCAGGTTCCGTCAGTGTCGTCGAAACAAGTCTCGCCCGCCAGGCACAGGGCGACCTGGAAGAAAAACTGACAAGGAACTTCCCGCTAACCCCGCCCTTATCACGCTAACCCACGCGCCCGCAAATGCCAGTCAGTGGCAGGGCAGTGCCGGACAGCGCCGCAGTTGCGCAGGTACGGAGGCCTAAAACGTGACGCTACAGCAGGTACCGCGAGCGAATAGCGGGGAATGCAGACCTGAAACATGAAACAACGGAGGCGAATCGGGGCGCGTGCGGAAAAACATCGCCAAGACTCATCGGCCTCGAAGAGGCCGGTAGTTTCCGCTCCACTTTTACCGTGTAAGTGGGCTTCTGAACAAAATACAACAGCTTTAAGCGGCTATCCAGTCAATTTCTTGTAGAGCCCAGTGAGGTCTTCTGTCCCTCCTCATCGTTCTCCGGCTGCTCTCTCCTGCACCCTCCCGTCGTACCTGACCTGTCCCACCCCATCATCAAGTTCTGGAACATGTACGAAATAAAGCCAGATTAACCTTTTAATTACGTGCAGCTTAACCTTGAAGCTTCCACGATCTGGCACGACCAAAGGCCACACCGTTCTTTTTATCCCATGCAGGCAGGTTGAACGAGGTCGGTACATGAAAGTTTGGTGACGTGGAACTCGTTCGCAGGTACGAAGTGGGAAAAGCGGAAAGGCAAACCGCAAACATGCTCAAAGTCACCGGCCCCCTTGTACCGGCAGGCACGTGGGTTGTCCGTCCGGGGTCCGTCGCCGTTCTCCGTTCTCCGTTCTCCGTGCTCTTTTTTCTTCCGTTGTCCGAGTCCCAGCTTCTTCCGTCGTCTCAGCTGTGACGGATGGTCCTCTCGGCACCGGCACGGAACGGAACGGAATCCGTAACCATCAAGTGTAAGTACGCTACAGATTTCACCACCTGGGCTTGGTGAGGCTCGGGGACCGATCTTCGTTTCTTGTAAGACCATTATTTAACCCATATATCACCCACCATCATCCGACTATTACCAGGCCGCAGTCGCAGCGACGAACGGGGGCAGAACATCAAGTAGAGCAACTCGGACCAGATACCATCCATTTGTTGTGAGCCGGTAGAAGACACGGCCTTGAGTCAGGTATTGGCATGGCAAAAGTAACGATGGTTTCTAGTAAATTTCGGTGTCATTGTCTAGGCTCGAAGGTGTTGGTTTTTCCCTTGGTGGTTACGAACGGATTTCGGGTGCGGAAGCGAGCGAAGGTGATTTGATGGTCCGGGCGTTCTTGGACTTTATCTGGAGAAAGAAAGAGACAACGGACGTAAACGAACCCCGAATCAGTGAAGACGATCAAGCGCAAATGGAAGCAAACAAACTTGAGCATCAGCTTCACACCTCATGCTTCCCTGCCGAGCCTGCTTCCATTATGAACAGCGGTCAATGCCTAACAGCGCAAGTATGTAAGGCGGTTCAAGTTCATGGGCCTAGCGGCCGTCATTATTCTACATCGATATAAATCATCTCAACGATAATCCCATGCCCATCAAACATCAAGTCCATGCAGTCCATGAAATCCTATCCAACTTTGCTTTGTTTGCCATTAACCACTGCAGATGGGAACTTTGCCTGCTCTACCTCCCTCCTCCTCCTCTCCACCAAATATCCAGACTTCCATATTTCCAGACTTTTGTACGAAATGCTCAACGATGAATGATTGACTAGAAAGAAACCCCCCAACATGCATGCAAACTTCCCATCCCTTGTTGAACCTGCTCTGCCCTGTCCTTAAAACTCCATGCCAAGCCAAAAATGCATTGCTATTTGCTCAACCACGTGCAGAACAAAAGAAACCTTCCAACGTACAACCAGCATTGCACCAACCAACCAATCAACAAACCGGCACAGCCAGTTCGGTTCATTCCTGCTCTTCATTCCCCCCTCCTCTTACCCCAGACAATGTCAAATAGGCGTAAAATACCCCGGCACCTTCTCATCCCCCATCGGCATCGGTCCCGGGCTCTCAACAGTCGGATAACTGCTCGTCCTTTGATGACTCGGATACCTTGTAATCAGCTCCCTCGTCTTCCCGACCGGCACGCGGCCGGCGTAGACCACCTCCTCGTAAGCGGGGGACGCCACGTCGTGCATGTCGTGTTCGGGGTATGCTCCTCCTCCTCCTCCGTACTTCTCATTCTGATAGTGAGGGCTAGCAGGGTTACCGACCATGGCGTTGGCTGGCGGCACTGCTAGGGAGGGATCGAAGCCGTTGTGGTTGTGGGTATCGGAAAAGGAATGGGAGGAACCGAATTGTTGCCCCCCTTCCCCGCGAGTTTTGTCGGGTGTTGCCCAACCGATCAACGCGCCCATGACGCCGATGAGGACGACGATGACGTACGTCAACAGGAGACCGAGCGAGATCAGAGCCTCTTGGATCATTCCGTTGCGCAGCGACTTGATCACCTTCCCCACGGCCTCGTTGATCTCGTCGGTTGTTACTGCGCCGGGCTTGGCCAGGAAGCTGGAAAGGTCGCCATCGCTACCCATGTTCTGCGCCGCTCCGGCGGAAAAGATGTCGTCGTCGAACCGCGGGAGTGTGACCTTGGCGTGGTCGTGCACCCAAGTCAGGCCGTCCTGGACGGCGTCGATCTTGCGGCCGATTAAGCAGCCGACGACGTCACGGGCGGTGTCGAGGAGGACGGTGTTGTTGAAGACGGTCACCAAAGCGTTGTCGATTTGGTCGTCGAGGACGGTGAGGGTGTTATTGACGGATTCCGTGGCCTCGCGCACCCAGCCGAAGAGATCGGTGTTGATGTCTGTTTCCATGTTCGCGACGACCGCGTTGGAACTGTTGGCCCAGTCGGTGCTCACTTGCTTCAGAGTTCCGACCACGTCACCGGTGAAATCGCCCACCTGCGCGGCAAGCTCGGGCGCCTTTTGCTCGATCTGCCGGAGGAGCACCCACTGGCAGAAGCAGGAGAAGAAACCGGCGGTGGCGAGGGACAGCACGAAGAGGGCAGGCAGGGAAGTGGCGTACGCGACGGCCCATCTGATCAAGAGATAGTTCTTGCTGTCTTTATCCTTAGTCCACCATTTGGCAAGTTTCATGCCGCCGTCGGCGGTCCAGCGGCGCGAGGCTATGTAGATGGCGTCCTGGGAGCTGAATGCGTTGTCGTCGATCTTCTCGGCCCGCACCCTTTCGCGCTTGAAGCCGCAATATTCAATATAGCCCATGACGACCATGGCGATCAGGGCGAGGATGATGATGACGATGAAGAAGGCAATCTTGGCTTTGTGAACGATGGTGACCAGGGACTCAAAGAAGTCGTTGAGGAAGGAGTTGTTGGAGCAGAATGACAAGGCTTGCTTCTCCGCGGTGGGGAAGATGGTGGGCTGGATTGTGAATTGGGAAAAGGCCTCGTCGATCTTGCCTTTGACGAGGTTGAAGGGGATGGCGAGGGCGGATTCGGTCAGGTTTTTGGCTTGGTCAAACGTCGGGATCTTTTTGTCGAGGACATCCAGGCCACCGACGACGCCGTTGGCGTTGATCTTGATTCCCTGGAGGTCCCTGAGGTGGCTGGTAATGTTGAGGTCTGGAAGTTTGATGGCTTCCTTATCCCCGCCGCCAAGGCCTGAAATAGTGCCGACGCCCGTGTTGAGGTATTGCTTTGCGGTGTTGATCATATCTTGGAAGCCCTTCATATCGTCGGCAATACCCTTGGTGATGGACCCAATGGCGTCGTTCATTACCTTGGTTGCGCCCTCCACCACCGCGGTAGCCACGTGCAGACCGCCGTGGATGAAGGCTGCCACCAGACAGGCAAAGGTGCCAATGTACATGTTGAGCACAAACATGATGATGGCCTGGACGCCCGTGAGGATCATCTTGAGGACTGCTGCCATTGCTTCAACTGCCTTTTGCATGCTGGCGGCGGCCATCACGTTGACGCCCTTGGACATGTAATGAGGCATGGAGGCCATGGCGCTGCCGACGTCTTCGACCTTGGTGCATGCTGAGAGTGCCTTGGCCTTGGCGTCGCCGAGGTTTTCCTTGAGGCTTCCTGTGAGGAAGATGACCCGGATCAGGACCAAAATCAACAAAATCGTCCACCGGTTGAACCATAGTTGTGACAGTCTTGCTCGCATGCCGAGATAGGGAGTGATTTGGGGGTCGGTATCGGAGTGCGGTTTTAGCTGGGGCTCGTCCTGTTGATCATTGTGAAGGTTGACGTTTTGCCATGGGGTTGCCGTATTAAGAGAGGGTGGGACCGGAGGGATGCCGCTCCCATATTTTTCGTTGTAAGCCATGATATCGATCTATCGTTTTTCTTGAGCCAGCAAGATGGTGCAGTATATCGTGTAGTTCGTCTACTAATCGTGCAAAAGTCGAAAAGGTCGAAAAATTGAAAAGGAAAGCGAATGCCGTGAGAGCGTGATGTGTGTGTGCTTGTAAAAAGACCGACAAGTTGGTGGTCACTCGTCTAGACCAGCTGGATGATTACTCTCGAGAAAGAATTACTGAGCCGAAGACCGGGAAAGGAAAAAGGAAATGCAAATGACCAAGAGAAAGGAACAAGAGAAGAGAGTCAAAGGAAAAGAGAGGGTATCCAAAACAGAAGGCTTGCCCACTATGAATGCATGCTGGAGATATGAATAGGAGGAGGAGAGGCAACAATAGAAAGAGAGTGCGTCAATAAGACGACGACGGGAGAATAAGACCAAGGCAGGCTAGTGACTGACTGGCCCGGGAGGCTGGTGGGCCACAGGATAAGTCGAGAGTCGGGATGATGGACCAAAAGATGGGATGACAGGTGATTTGCAAATGACAATAGGCGCACCCGGTCCCAGAATAGAAGAAGGCCCATTGTTCTTGAAAGAACATTGCCTTTGTTCGACTTTGTGTGCGTGGACGGTGGAGTGGGAGGCTGATCAAGGGGTCGTCGTCCCGTAGCCGCGGTCGTTGTCTAAGCGCCTGGACTCTCGCAGCCAGTCGTTCTTTGTCATGGACCTTGAAGACCCCGGATTTCCTTGCGGAGAGGCAACCCAGCGAGAACTGACTGGGTTGATGGATTGATGCGAGCCTGTCGTCTTGATGTCTGGCGCGCTTGCAGCCGGGCCATGTTGTTCATGAGGCATGGCCACCTGATGGGGCTCGGGAGGGCTCATCGGACTCACCTTGACCTCACGGCATGGTGAACAATGTGTGCCGGTCCTATTGTCCGCCTCGCACAATAGAAATCTCCCACCGAGACGAGACGGTGATGCGCGTCACCGTGAGACCCTTCACCACAATCATCCTCGCTGAGTCTGCGGCAGAGCAGATGTCGGGAAACAATCGAGGCTGGTCGCAAGATCTGGCATCATCAAATTCTGGTGTTTCCGATCCCGAAATGCGATGTGTCAGGAAGTGGAAAAGAGGGAAAAAAGAGAAGGTTGCACCCAAGGCGTTCCTGCGTTTCAACCGCGGCCTGGCTCCCGCAAATGATTGGTACCTGACCGGGGTCCAACAGACGCGCTTCTGGCGATGCCAAAGTGGGGCCTCTACCCGCTGGAGTCCTGATAGCCAATGGATGACCTGGAGGCTCTGAAAGGCGAAAGCCCAATGACGACAAGCCAACAAGGGGAGAGATTGCAGCCAGCCGGGCGCTTCTATTCTGCTGTTTTAAAACATGTTAAACATAGAAAAGAGGCATTAATGGCGAATGGGTTCAAGTGACTTACGCAAGGAAGGAATTGCCGCGTTCATTTAATTTTCGGCGGCCGCCGCTTGCTGTTCGGTCTATGGGGATTTGTGTTAGATGTGACGGTGCAGAATTGATCGATTGAAGAGTGTGTGTGACTGACTCGCTCAGAAGGTATGGGGGGTGCTAGGGTAACCCAAATATGCCCAGAAATCAGGCAATATTAGGTAGCTAGAGCGCTAACCTCCATATAGTATAGCTAAAATCATCCTTAAATCTAATATACCTCCTCACTTACAAACTTTCCAAATAGAGTAAAAGTGAAGCTATTTATAGAATCTCTCTTCTAGTACGTTAATTTCTTCAGCTAAATTGTGAATATTCTCTAGAATATTACCCGGAATTTCCTTATCTATCCCTATCTCCTTACGAGCTAGTATATTCGTTATTCTTATTAATTCCCGGAATTCCTCGTAATTTAATTGTCCTAAAACCTTATTAATTTATCAGCTAGTATTTTCTTCATCTCTAAATATTTAATTTCAATTCTTCCCTCTATAATTTCCTACCTTAATTAATAACAATAGATATTAATATACTTCAATTTAATCATCAACTTCGCTACCTCAACAATTAATATACGGATTATCTATATATTATTACAACCGATTATAAGTATATCCTTATCGAAGGGAATATTAATCTCTTTATATAAATATATAATAGCCATAACTTCTTTAATAGCGTTTAAAATCGATAATAATTCTACTTCTATTATTAAAATAAATAGCGTCTTTTACTTAATTAAACCCTAATAAACTAAATTACTAAAGGATTTAATTATAAATCTATACAAGCTCTTTCAATCTAGAGAATTATTAGCGTACAACGTATTTAAAGCGATTTCGAATTTCGTTAACTTATTATAATAGAGGGAGAGATTAGGGTAGTATTATAAGTAGTATAAAACTTTATTAATAATTTTATAATATTAAGGATTAAGATTATAATTGTAGCGAGCTAATTGGTTAGCGGCGAAGGTAATATTAGGCCGGGTAATTATAGCAGCGTATATTATAGAGCCGATAACGACTTAGTATTTCCGGATTTTATTAAAGGAAGTTATACTATTGTAAGGTATAAATTCTTTGTTATTTATTAAAATAAAGGCGAAGGTATAGGGATTTTTAATTAATTTAGTAATTTTATAAATATATTCCTGTTAGGATAATTAAATATAGCTTACCTCTCGGTTTCGAATAATTTCGATACCTAGAAATTATAAAAAGTTATTACTATTAATAAACTTATACTTCTCTTCCAACTTCTTTATAACCTAAATAATTTTATTGTACTATAATTGATTAAAAGCGAAAATAATATTATTAATATAATAGAAAATTGGGATTTTATTATGTTTGAAGATATACGGGTCTTTAAATAACGGTTTAAACCCTAAATTTTCGAAGGTCTTATTAAATTTTCGTCACTATAGTAAGGGAGTTCGTCGGAAATTATAAAAAGCTTTAAAGATTTTAAGGATAGTACTATACTTGCAATAATTAGGAAATATATATATATAAATCTCCTCATTAAAGTAGGCGTTAACGAAGGCATTTATTATGTTATATTAAATAAATTTGAAATCGAATTTAATGGCGTAGGCAATAATTAATTAAAATAAGCGATTAACTAATATAAAGGTATATATTTTCTTATTATAATTATACTATTAGTTTCCTTTAATTACGAAGCGAGCTTTTATTTTTAATAATTAATGATATTTATTGAATTTATATACGTATACTTATATATAATCGAGGATTTAAAAACTTTTAATACAGGGAACGTTTTTATTAATATTAACCTATAATTTTATTTCTTTATAGTTATCGAAATATATTTCTTCTATTTATTTAAAAAGATTATTTAAATCGTAATATTCGAAATCGTAATAAATCTTTAAGATTAAAAAGAGATTTTAATATTTAATAGAATTTAATTTACTACCCTTAGAAATTAGGTAGTTAATTTCTATCTTTATAATTATTTTACTTTATCACTACCTAATTAATTAAGTAAATGTCTTAGTGTTAAATGTAATTTCCTATAATTCGAAGGTTGGGAAGGAAATAGACTCTAGTAAATTTATTATAAAGCCGGTAGTAAGAGTAGTTAGTAATATATTTAATGGGGTAAAGTAAATAAATATAAAATCGATAAATACTTTACTTTAAGCGGTAGGTTCTATTAATTTCGAAATAATTTTATTACTATCTTTTTAATATTTATTATCGAAGAATAACGGTAAGAGAGGGGTAAAATTATTATCTTCTATATTTTAAATTGTATTAAAAGGTTCGAAATATCGTATAAATAATCAAAGAAATTAATTAATTCGGTTGAATAAATTAGTAATTTCGTCGCTAATTAGCCTTAATCCTTCTTCAAAATTATTAAAGTTCTCTAAATAAATTAAATCTTCGTTAAAGAGTACGTTATGGGTATAGACGATGTAATTAATCTATAGGTTATAAATTTAATAAATAGAGGAGGTAATATAATGAATAAGGAATCCGATTTAAACCTTTAATTGAAACTTTTTACACTATTACTCTTTCTTCTATATAATACCTATTATTATATATATTTTATAGCCGTAAATACGTAAATAATTAAGGTTAAGCTTGCGGGGTTCGGTTTATACCCCCTTATAGTAGGCTACAAAAGTATAAAACCGTTCGTATAATAACCTTTAATTAGAGAGATACTTAAGCGATCGGTTAATAAGGTAGACCGAAGTTAAAATAATTTAAAACTAGAGGTTATAAGGGAGTTTAGCGCTATTTATCATTATACGCGCCATGTTTTAATTATACCCCCTAAACTCTTAATACTACCATTTTAAATTTAAATATTAAGTATTAAGGGTTCGAAAATAATAAAGCGTATAATTAGCTTATCTTTAATATATTAACTATTAACTTTATTATTATATTTAATGTATTTAACTTTAACGTTATATTAGTAATTAATTGTATCGATAACCGAAAGAAGTCCTTTAGTAATAGCCTTAACTATTCGATTCGCTATATAAATATCCTAAATAAATTTAATTTATTAATGAATAATGAATATAATATATTTAAAGTTACTTCTCCCTACTTTATATTCGAAGAAATCGACGGCGAAATGCTCTTCCGGATTAAAGTCCTTATTTTGTAATTTTTATTTAATTTATTATTTAATCTTTAAAATATTGTACATATTATATTAATAAATAGCGGGCCTTTTAAATTTAATACTTTTAATATTATAAAGGTATTTAAAAATTTAAAGATTATAGTAATCGAATTGTTTATATTAAAATTTAGCGGGTATTTTATATACGTAATAGCTAATAATATCATAGGGCGAGAGGGGACCATTAGGGGTAGGGTAAGATATGCGTTGTTGTACGAAGGAAAGAAAGGGAAGTATACGTAGAGGACTAACTATATAGGCGAGAGCCCAAGTAGGCTAATCTGTACGCGCGTACGTAAAGCTACATATAATTAAAATATATAACCAATACGTAAATACATAGCTCTAAGCTATAGTACCAACTCTAGCATAGCATATATACAT